CTTTTAAACAACACTGCAACACACTTTTTTTTCACTAAGTTTCGGGGCTCAAAATTATTTTCCAATATCTTCAAAATACATATTCAATTCGATGATTTTTGGCTTTCATCACGTTTATTGTATTTTAGTTCGAGTTGCATTTTCAATTCTTTACGCACATATACACATGTATGTATGTACATCAACACTAACACATCACGGAGTTTGATTCTAACCTCACTTGTTATTAATTTGATTGGCAATTTTGAGTTCACTTTAAATTTTCATCCACAAAATCACTATTCGCGTGCGGCATACAATATTGGACAAATAAGAAGTCTCTTCGGAATAAGTAGACTAATAGCTCAATTACAATTGAGAGTTGGGTGGCGAGCTTTTTTAGATTCTGCAATCATAAGAAAAAAGTAAAATATATATATATACTTACAAATACATACATACGTATAACCTTTAAAACATACATACATATATATATTATCACAAATAAAAGAATATATCTTGATACGTGTGAAGGTACACTAGAAATTCTTGTATTAAAATCTGGGATTGTGGTGGTCTCTAAGAATTTTTCTCAAGTGAAGTCGTACTTGAATCTTGGTCTTCAGTGGTTTTTCTGTACTAAATAATACCTGTCAGTTTGCCAAATTTTTGTTCCGATAAACAAAATGGATAAATTCATAAAATTAACTGATGCTGTGGCAGAATTTGAGGCCGACTATAATGACACGGCCCAAATTGACCACACAAAATATACCCTCACTCTTCAGCAAGAGGAACTTAAGGCAATATGGAGAAAGGTAAAAACTGCTTACGAAGAATTAGTGCATTCCGACACGTTAGACGCTAAAGGAGTCTCTACGGTTAAACCTAGGTATAAGAGCTCCTATTCTGTTTATTTGCGCTGCATGTCGAACATGTCAGATTTCCAGGCAAAGTTAGTCAAGGGCGAAAAAGATACAGAGGGCGTGTCTGTCCAGGAACACAATATACATCTGCCCCCGTGCGATACGGACGTGTTCAAAGGCGACTACCTCTCTTGGCCAACATTCCGAGACATGTTTACGGCCATATATATACTGAATAAGCGCCTTACCCCGGTTGAGAAATTATTCCACCTCAACCAAAAAACACAGGGGGAGGCCAAAGATATCGTCCAAATATGCCCACTTACTAACGAGGGATGCCACTGCATGGAAAAATTTAACTCATAGGTACGAGAATAAACCTATTCTCGTAAACTCCCAGTTACAAATTCTTTTTAATTTAAAGTCGGTAGAAAACGAGTGCGGAATCTCGATTAAGAAACTACAGCGAGATATAAATAATTGCATCTCATCATTAAAAAGCCATAAAATTGACATATCA